TAATTTAAATTTAAAAAAAAAAGGAAAATATATGATTAGAAAATAAAAAAAAAAAATTAATTTTTTTTAAACAAAATATTATAATGTTCAATTAAAAATAAAATATTGTGCGAAGAATAATTTTATATTGTTTGAAGAAAAATTGTGTATTATTGTATATATGAAATAATAAAGAAATATATAACGAAATATGTCAGGAACAGAAGGTGAAATAGGAAATAAGCCAACTGTCTTCATCAGGAGGAGTTAACATTGTAGACCACCCATTGGGCTCAATAATATATGTATATCGTTTCATCAGATGGAAATATTGGTGTATCTTCGAGTGCGGCTCAACACCTCGTAATAGCCCAGGTGGTATATTGGGTCGATGTGTTATAGTGGCGCCCCGCAGGAAGTCCTAATGAAGACAAATCCAACTGAAAATGGCGTCCGAAACTATTTCCTACTGCACTGCCGTATTATATATATATATATACCGCACCACCAAACAAAATCAATTTGACCGACTTTTTCCTTTCCCTCTTACGATTTATTCTCTTTTTCACTCCTTCACACCCTCCACTTTCAAACTAATCTCAATTATCATAAATTTAAAAGTTATGATTAAGTGGTATTTATTAAAAAAAAAGATATATCAATCACTATAGGGAGAATTACACTAACGAATTTATCTCAAATATATATATGATTTATTTAATAAATTATAAAATATTTGATTACCTAGCAGACGAGCAATTTTTTTTGTTGTTTGGGTTGAGTTGATTCTTTTTGTATTTTTTCACTTCAAAAATTACTGTAAGGTCCTTTTTCTCGTGGAGCATCAAATATGTATAATATCGTCAAGTAATAATTTCGGGCACGCAGTTTTTTTCTGACTAAATATTATTTACATTCAAACGCTTTGGTTAGAAAAAATATATGTATATTTAAAATTGAATTATGTTTTGACCACGTTTTTTGGAATTGAAATAAAGGTGAATGGAAGAGATATCTTTTTTTTCGAAATTGAAAATAAAAAAAAAGAAAGAAGAATAGAAAAGGTGACTCTCGTCCGGTGGCCTAACCAACAAAAATCCAACGATAAATCTTCGTTGCTGAATCGTATATATATATATATGTGTGTGTATATGGGGCTCATGGCAACACACGCCCTTAGGGCTAAACGACTAAATAAGTGTTCCAATTTCAAAATTACCCGCTAAGCGATTTGTGGGCCGGCAGAAAATATATCGTTGACATGTGGGCAAAGGCGCTTGAGGGTCGACTCTCTTATGGTCTTTCTCTCTTCTTCTTATACGAATAAAAGCCAGTTCTCGGGAGCACAACTCCCGACTTGGCTTCAGGGAGACAAATGACTGTCGCCTTCCCAATTGGTCTGTCATGATTTTTTTTCTCTTCGCCACAAATCGCATTGTTTAATATATCGCTCGTCTTTAAATCACTTCTCATTCTCTACGCTTCTCATTCCATATCAAAATTAGCGTTCGAATAGTTTACATTTTTTTTTATTAGATATATATATATATAATAGAATGTTCTTGATCATTTGGATCTCACTTTTAGCCGAATTTGTCTTAGGAGATTTTTTTTGTTGTATTTTAATATTGTTGAATACAGTACAACCTTTTTAAGTGGGATACTGTTCAAGTTGATCACAGCCAGGTTTGACTGTATACTATATAAAATTATATTTATTTTCTAATTGTCAAATGTTTGGGTTACTATTATTTTGCTAACAAAGTTTTCGTAACTATTGTTATATATATTTTACAACAGGTGATAATCTTGTTTCATACAACAAAATATTATTTTGTACAAAATATTCATTCTTAAAATCAAAAATATAACAATAGTACAAAATATAATTATGGATTTTATTTTCAGTATAATTAAACAAACTATAACATTATCACCGATTGCATAATATATAACAATAGTTACCAAAAAGTAAATTTTAATTTTAAATATTATCGAATATTTATATCATCTCATTTAATCAATTTTGACTTTAATATTATTATATGAAGTTTTGTAATTCTATAATGATATATTTTCAATTTTCTCTTTAGTGTCACTTTAAAATAGAAACAAAATTACTTTTTGTTTCATTCTATATAATTTTCAAAGAAAGTCTCGCGCTCTAAAAAATTTCAGATTACTCTCGCGCACTTTCCGCTTCTGCACATTGAGAATTAGACATTTTTTATATAGAAACTGATGTCGATGTATATATTTTAACGAAAAAAAAAAAAAAAAAAAAATCCCACCTGATTTTGAAAATAGATTTCGTCAATCGCACAAAGCCAGTGGAACGGAAATTTGACTGGGCCAATATCAAAAGAAAGGCAAGCGAAACAATCCATATTAAAAGGTGGATATAAAAAAATGCGTGTTTTACGGATGATCTGAAATTTTCCGGATGAATCAATTCATTAATTAGACGCTTCTTTTCTCAATTTCCTAAGAGAAAGAGAGAAAGAAGTATATATATCTCTTTCTAGGTATATATATATATATTGTTTGACCGTTAAATTCAGAAACTAAAGAAACGGTTACTAAATAATCCATTAGACGATACAATCGATTTAACAACTTCGCGGCTTTTAACTTCGATACAAATCATGCAGAACCATAAAATTTCTGGTCCATATATCTGTAATTTTTCTACTTGATTTTTCCCCTAAATTTGATGCCGCTTTGATCATCAAAAGTTATATAACGACCCAATGGAAAATTGGAGTATGAAAATATTTCCCATAAAATCTGAGAAATGGAGATGTAATACATATAGCAATTTAAGATCGGCATGTCGATTGACGTGAGAAAAAGCGAAAATATTTTTAAAAAATTATTTTTTTTTCTGAAAATACCATTCAAATACTAATTTAATTCAAATAAAAATTATTTGATACAAGTTAATATTTATTTGAAAATAGTCAAGTGACCAATTATTTGAATGAAATAAATTCTTTTCTCATTGTAGTCTAGAGGGGATATCTGCGTTAAGAGAGAGAGAGAGGGGGGGGGGGAATGAGGCGACCCACCTTATGGTGAACTTCATTAAGTGATGTTTTTAAAATTGAATAGTTGAAAACGACTATTATAAAATTTGGCCCGAGGCTGTTATCTAATGAGAATATAAAAATGAAATATAAAAAAAGAAAGGAAGTATATAGCGCAACGCGGAGTCATCATTGGTTAAAGGAAAAGGAGAGAAAAAGAGGTGAGCTGAACCATAGGAAGGTCGTCGTCATCATCGTCGTCGTTGAAGGAAGAGGTTTTGGACGTGTTGCGAAAAGAGGCTGCCGCGGCAAATTCGTGAACATCAAACGAATTAAATCTCCGCGGCGAGTCGACCCCAGAAACTAATATCTCAGCGCCTCTCTTCGTCAGTTTTGTTCCCTCTGTGCTATAGGCTCATGATATTGGTACCTCATCGCAGCTATACTACTCTACACTACTCTTGAAAATCTTGCAAATATTCCAACTCTCTTATATCTATATATATATATATTACAATTTTCCTAGAAATAAGGAACTATAAACTGTTTCTATAATATAGCTTATTCTATGAAGAAAAGAGATCATCATGATAGTCTTTGAAGTTGCTCAATTTTCCCCCTATAGGTTTTCTATATAAAATATGTCATTTTCTGTGAACAGGTTATTTTCTTTTTTTAAAAAAGTCATTTAGAGTAGAATTAAAAAAAATGTTGAGGAATTTTATGATAAATGGTATTTAAGTATATAAAATAATGAAGAATAATTGAAGATTCAATAAAGCTAATCGAATCTTAATTTCGCTGAAGATGTGCGTGATGGTTGGTATATGGATAATGAAAATTGACAAGACACTGAATTGGCTTGTTGAACGAATCATGACACGATTACTTGGGAACAGAGGTCCTAACGAAAAATAAAATTGATAAACCTTCACAGTAGGATATGTATCGACAGGACAAAGGCGATGTGTTTTTGTCAATATATATGATGCCACAAACCAATGGTCCTTCGTGGACGCTTCGGTTCACCAATGATTGAGAGGGAATGAAAGAAGAAGAAAAAGAAGAAGAAAAAGAAGAGGTATATATAAAAGAGGGAAAGAAGAAGTAAGACTTGTTTTCGAAGATGACTGTACTCGAGTTGCGCGCAGGTGTGACCGATGGCGGTATACTCTTTGATCTCCTATAAACGACCGGCTACTTTGTCCGCGACTCATCGAGCTTCTGCCCTATTTCAACCCAATTATTTCCAATCTGATCCATAACACCTTCCATGAACTAGATCCACGATGATTTCGTGTATACTAATTTTCTACAATCGAAGTCTTTCATCTATATATATATATAAAATTCCACATCAGTTCCATCTGCCGAATCAAAAGTTGATTTCAATCATAAGAATATTGATGCGATGAAAAATTTTTTTCTTTCTTCAATTAAAAAAATGCAGAATTTTTTTTTTTTTACAAATTTGGCAAATTTTACTACAACAGTAGTATAGACTATAGTAAATTGAATTTTTGATCTCTCTGGTTTCAAATATCTATGTGGCCAGTTCGGAATTTCGTGATAGGTCCCGGAACGAATGTGTAATACGACTTTTATGGGGGGATTTCTCTCGACATTTCGAAATGCATCTGATTTGTGGCTTTTGCATAAAGCTCACGCTCTACGCGTCTATACATGAGCCATTCCCTCGTAACTTTGTTCCGTTTCTCACCTTTGCCACCAAAGGCGCGATTATGACTTTTTATCCCACAAATAAATTTTATTTATTTTTTCTCAAACTCAGCAAAAGAATTTTGCTACACTTTTAAACATATTGTATAAAAACAAGAATTAAAAATATAATTTTCAAATATATATATACAGAAGAAAAAATAAAATTCTCATCACAAAATATATAATTTTTGATTATACTTTAAGAGAAAATGATTTATATTTATTTTCTTTTTTCAACTCATTAATGAATCGTTCTTTCTTTTTCTGTTACAGAGCAAGCTAATCATTTGAATCTCTTCAACAATCGACAACAACCGAAGAAAAAACGAAAGAGTCGAACAGCATTCACAAATCAACAAATATTCGAATTAGAAAAACGATTTCTCTATCAGAAATATTTAAGTCCAGCCGATAGAGATGAGATTGCAGCACAATTGGGTCTTAGCAATGCTCAGGTGATCACGTGGTTTCAAAATCGACGAGCAAAATTAAAAAGGGACATGGAAGAGCTCAAAAAAGATGTGCAGACTGTAAATCCACTTATTGTGGCACAACATCACAAAACATTCCTCGAAAATGTTCAAGATCTCGGAATTCTGAAGAAGAGGCCACTACCAAATTCGATGGATGAAAAATTATAGACCATTTTGTTTTCGTCCCTCCCCTAACACCCCTTACCCACCTGATAAAAAATTTAAAATTAAAGGCTATATATAATATAAGCGAGAAGAAACTGTTTTTTTTTTTTTTCATGAAAATAATTCCCAAAAAAAAATAAATGTACCTTTTTTAATTCTAATGAAAAAAAAAAAAAATTATTCCCATGACAAGAAAAATGTTTATTTTTAAAAAAAATTAAATGAAAAAGAACTGAAAGAAGCTTTGAAGTGCGAGGCATATATGAATATTCAAAATTTTTCCTCTTTTTAAATTCTCTCATTACTAAATGAAAACACATTTAATTAAAGAGGACAACGCCAAAATATTCCCGTCATAATTTCTCTTAAAAAAATAAAACGAAATTAAAAGAACAAATTTTCACTTACAATTGCAGTACATAATTACTTTTGTTTGACTGTTTAAAAATTAAAATTTCGATGCACAAATTGAATACTATTGTAAAATAAGAAAAATTATTTCGCAATTTTTTTTTTCAAATTATTAAATACCCAGTGTTTAATATATATATATCTATTAATCAGGTTTATTTCAAAATAATTTGTGTTCAGTATAGCATTGAATTTACAATGTATTTATTATTTAACGCATAAGTTCAAAACTCCAAGAAACAAACGAAATATTAATACAAAAAATTGAACTATCGATATAGACAATTATCAATTCAAACATACAAAATGAAAAGAAATTATGACATTATGTATTTGAAAATAATACCAAATTACCCTATAATTAAATAATTAAACAATTTTTTCCATTAAAAAAAAAGAGACTTAAAATTTTCTGAAAGAAAAATTCTCTCTATATATATATGTCACGCTCACTATATTTCTAATCGATATATGAATCTTTGAAAAAGAATAAATTGTTATAATCAATTTTAGGTAGAAATATATACGGCATATAAAAGTTTATGTATATCTTATTGTCTGTAAATTTGTAAGATCTCAGTGAAATATTATATATGTAAAGATTTTTATATTGTGCGACTATACTGTCCCAAAAAGCAATTCAATTTGTGGGAATAATGTATATACACTGAAAAAATGATATTCTTTATTTAGAAATATATATGACAATTTCTAAAATAAATTTTTTCATTTTAAGAATATATATATATATAATGTATGTGATTCTATTTTATTTATTTTTAATTTAAGAAAATTTGTCATCTTCTATATATGTTGAGAAATATTCTATAATTTAGAATATAACTTTTTCAGTGTAACAAAGCAACACTCAATTAATGAGTCTAATTCCAATGTGATTCTAAAATTAACAATTAAATTTTCTCGATTCGCTTAAAATTCTAGACATTATTATATATATAGATGAATCTCCTGTTGTTAAAACAAAATTCCCATCTTCGCTTTAATATGGAACATTTGTGGCGATCGAATTAGGTGGATGTATTATAATGTATTTATTATATAAAAAGAAAATTGATGTCCGCATGATCGGATTAAATCGATGATAATAAATTATTAGTAAATATATATATATATATATAGTTCGTAAATTATGAGTCGCTTTCACCGGCTGTCTCGTGTACATAATATTGTAAATAGCATATTTGTCATTAATTAGAAGATTTTTTTTTTCCCGTGTATAGGTAAACGTAGAGCCATATAGATGGGGCACTGCAATATACCTAATTGTCAGTTTAATTAGGGAGTTTTACGATTTTGTATGATGTAAATTCTATCGTATATGAATGTTATATTCCAGATGACAAATGAACCTGTGAACCAAGGAGAATGTCTGTACAAACAAGATTAGGACAGTGTATAGTGATCCAAAAAATAAATAGAAAATTCATTATATCATAATTATACTCGATGTCTTCGTATTTTATCCCCTCTATATTCCTCTTTCTTGAAATATTTTCTAATTACTTTCATTGCAATTTGCAATAAATTTTCATTTGATATTATACGCTAAATGGATTAATTTAAAAAAAATTTTTTTTGTAATTAATTATTATTAAAACAATAATTTTTCTCTGTTTCAAAAAAGATTATTATTTCAGAATGAAAAATAAATTTAAGTATAAATAAAAAAGTAATAAGAATAATTTTTAAATGAAGACATTTTTTTTTTATTTGTATTTTCGTATTTTAATATTTTATTATAAAAGAAAAAGTTTTTGGGAAAATGAGAGAAAAATTATATTTAAATAATTGTAATAACTATGATTTTAAATAAATCAATTTTTATCTAAAAAAAAAAAAATTTCAATTCATTTTGTGAGAAAAAAATTGTGAAAACGCAAATAGACAATACTTTCTCAATTTTACTTTATGTCAAAGAATAGGGAAAATACTTAATTAATGATAATTGTGAGTAAAAGAGGTTTGTTTTGTATTACCTTATGAATATGCAATGTAAATGTCAATGAACAATGTTTGAAATATATGACAGTAGCAGGAGAGAGGTGAGTGGAGAAAAAAAATCAAGTGACAAATGGCAAGCCACCAATTGTTGAATGTATTTTTAAAACAAAAGATAGACAACTCTCTTGGTCGTTTGCTATTTGTCACTCGCTTGTCATCTCAACTCTCGACTCGTGTAACTGCAATATATATACACACGTGACATAGCACACGTGTGTATGACCATTAGTAATGAACTGAACAATATATAAAGAAATTGAATTGCCTATACAGGATTTAATAGGATTATAATTACACAACCAATAGCGTAATCTTTAAGAAATATTGATTTTTAAATTATAACAATTGATTGTCTATTTTCTTGTCTAATATGTTATTATTCAACAAAATTTACTGAATATTCAATTATTTTAAATTAAATTAATTGAACTTCATTTTCAATTAAATGAAAAAATAATTTTATTCCTAAATATAAATTTAAATAACCAAATTAATTAGAATTAATTTAGAAATAAATCAAATTTCAATTCGAATAATGAAATTAAAATAAAATAATTTATCTAAACTGTGAAAAAAAAAATGTCGACCAAAAATAGCTTATCTAAAATAAAAGTTAAGAATAAACAACTTAATTCTCAAAGTTTCAAGACAAATAAACTTCAAAACTTTTGTCGTTTTTGTCAGAGAGCGTTATTATATATTTTTATGCAAATATATTATCGTGAAAGGCAATTGTTAAGAGGTTTATTGTTAAAAGTAAAGTTCAAAAAAAAAAAAAAAAAAAAAAAACAGTAAAAAAAAATAGAATATTTAGGAGAAGAGGGAAAAATGACAAAAGGTATAGAAACATGAAAGTTTCTTACGCGCACGGCAGTCATAAGGCGTGCGTATAATATATAGTGTGAGAGATGAAAAGAAAAAAAAATTATTGGCCAAAAATAGCGCAAAGAGTCCGGTTCTTCTGAGAATCTTTTTGATGCGGTTCGCGGGGTTTACCCAGGTCTGTAATTTATTAAGATGAAGTCATTATATGTTTGCCTCTGTAACATTCATTCGCGTAAAGTCTGTAACTTGTCATAACTGAATACCTGACATAACAAAACTCTTTGGTCCATTTGCGGGGTCGAAAAGGGAGTATATATTACCAATATATGCGTGTATGTGTGTGCTCTCTAACACACACACACACACACATTAAAGTATAAATCAGAACACGCGGACTTTTCTTGAAAAATATTATAATATTATAAAATATTATATATTTTTTCAAAGAAATATATAATATATAAATGCCAGTAACCAAATTTTTTAAAATACAATAAATATTTTATGAACTATACATTCATATATTGCCCTTATTATATTTCTCAAAAAAAGAAAAAAATATAATCTGAACAGATTTTTCACTATTCTGAATCATGTAATTAGATAGTATAAATTAACTCATAATTATAGAAAGTGATATTTTTACATTGCGCAGAAAGCAAGGAGAAAATTGTGCATATCGCCGCCGCAGTTGCAGTTTCAATAATTTTAGAGATAAAGAGAAAAATAAAAAAAAAATATAAAGAGAAAGATATTTGTATTTTAATTTTGCAAAAAGTCGTTTTTTTTTTATTTTATAATTCCAAAGTGGAATGAGAAAAGTTTTAATTGATATATTGCTGAAAGATGTATTTTTTATATTTTTTTATTTTTTGAAATTTAGCGCCATTATTTATTATTTTGTGTTACATTGTTGGCACTTGTGCGTTTGACAGTTTACAATCTTTCTAACCTAAAAATTCTCGTATTTGATTTTACCAATTGCTAATCACCTTCTAGAAGTAAATACAGAGTAAAGATAAAAACTTTTATTCATTAAAATTTTATTTTTAAATTGTTGGAAAATTTTTATTAAAAAGAAATTAATAAAATAAACAATAATAATCTAAGAAAAGTAAGAGAAACAAAAATATATATATAAGTTGAAAGATCTTATACGAGGTGAAACAAATTTTTATTTTATCGTTGATTTTCGAAATAAAAGAGAATTTCTCGGATCTTTTGTTGTTTCTTCGAAGTGAGACATTTCAATGAGAATCCACCTGATTTTGAAGAGAGGGGGAAAAAAATAATAAATGGGGTGTGACCGGAGGCAGTGGGTTTCACACACAAAGGTGAAGAAATCGACTGGTTTCTAGCCTTCGGGAAACCACAAATTTTTTTCTTTTATTTTTCGAAGGGAAATGATTGTCGAAAGACAGTAACGACAAATAAAGACTTCACACAAAGATTTTTCGTAGCAGTCTGCCAGCTGTCGGAACTATTAGAGATGATCTTCGTTAAGTGCAGGTTATAGGTTTTCGTTAGACACGCGTTTCTTCTGGAGCTTCACACCCGAAAATTAAGATCACTGAACAGGAGTATATATATAGTCCTTATGCGCACGGTAAATCATTTTGAGCCGGATTCGAGAATCTAATAATTTATATTAAATTATACCTAAAATATAATATAATGCCTATTAATTGGTGTCTTGAAAAATTTTCGGTAACAAACTGTTTTTTTTTTTTTTTTAGAGTAAGAGAGACATGTGTGCGGTCAATTTGTGGAAATTAAGGTAACATTCAATTTTTCTTGAATTTTAAATGATTTTTTTGAGGGTAATTTATTGCGATGAGGATTTTTGGAAATTAAAATAAATGGATTCTTTATATATATATATATATATATATATATATATAGAAAGTGTTCTTCGGAGAAGATATTTATTATTTAAGAGGAGAAAATTGATTTGACTGCGCGGCGCAAAAGAAACAGCAGTGGTGCGCTTTCTGCGTCTAAAAAAGAGTATATAGTATTACTTTTGGTTTGTACAGACCGATGGCAGTTTATTCCCTTTGCTATTATGCGGTTCGGGCATCAGCCATATATGAAGCAGTAAGCAAGGTAGCTCGTACCGCCTTGTAATTCAGACGCCGCTACATCCAAATAAAGAATTCATAATGGCGATGATGACCACCGCCAATTTTCTCAATATATCTGATACACCAATAACTCAACTGATTCCATCGTGTCGAGCATGATCGTTTATTGTCCTTCAATTCTTTCATATATATATATATATATATATATATATTCTATTTTTTTCTACTCATTTTCTTTACAATATAATAATTTTTGACTAAAATTATTTGCATTGTTTCAAAAAAAAATCTAAAACTTTTTTTCTTGATTGGTTGATTTCTAATTCAGTTTTTCAAAATTCAAAATGGCGGATAAATTTATTAAAAATTCAAGTATTTTACTTTTGAAATTCATTACTTAGAGGTTCTTGTGGTCGCTTATTACAAATCTGGTGGCAACGAACTCAAAAATTATGTAAGGAGATCAAAAATTAAGCTATACATAATTTTTAAACATTTATTTAATAGTGTACCAAGTTTTATTAAATTCCTAATGTTAATTCTATTTCCGCTATAACCTCCTTAAGAATTTCTAAACAGTGTTTTTTCCTATCAGAATCGCCAAAGAGACAACATATAAATTTTTTTAAGCCTTGTGTTTCTTTTAGTATATCGACCAGGTCACATATTTTGAACTGTAGACAGCCGAACGATTTTTTGAAGAAAAGTCCGCCATATTGGATCCGACATTTTGAATTATGAAACAGTGACACTGGATTCGAAATCAGCGTCCCCGAAAACCCCCGAGTAAAAAGTTTCAAGCGAATCCCAATGATTTTTGAAAAAAAAGTCCGCCATATTGGATCCGCCATTTTAAATTTTGAAAAACTGACATCGGATTCGTAATCTAAGACCCCAAAAAACCCCTAGTAACAAGTTTCAAGTAAATTTTATTTATTTATTTTTTTTTTGAATAGTAAAACTGTTCTATTTTTATAATGGACCAAAAAAAAAAAATGGTAAATATTTTGAAAATTTGATCCGATCTTGAAAAACGGTTAACGCCATTGAATTCAGCGTACTTGAATTAGGTTAATACATACTATATGCCCAGTTTGTTCATTTTTTGAACTGGCAAAGTGAAATTACTAAAATGTTGGAGTTACACGATTGGTAATATAAAAAATAAGATTTATTGAAGTTTCAGATTAGAGAAGTGGAAAAGATGCATCCAGAGTGATCGCTTGACTATAGAGCAATTGATCGAGATTATTGCGGCAGATGGCGCTAGTGAGAAAAGAGGAAACTTAATTAAATTTCAAGTAAGTAAATTTTTGACTTTTGTTTAAAAAAAAAACAATGTTGCATCTTAAAATAACCCGTGCAGAAATTTGCCAACCTGGCCCTGACCTGGTTGAAACAGGGAACCCGAACGGGGCCAAATTAGGCCCTGGTCGGTCCTTGGTTTTAATCGGGTTGAAGTAGAGCGCTCTTCTGTGGCCTCAATCGGGTTCCCTGTTTCATGCGGATTTAGAGCTTCCCGATGTGGGCCC